TAAATAGCTCTTGTCCAACGTAAAGTGCTGCTGTACGTGGCTTCTTTGCAACTAGGGTTGTCCGTCTTTCCAGTTCCGGAGGGAATAAATTGCACGATGCCACACGATACCAGCGCTGGAAACAGCCTTCCGAGCGGCTCACATCCTTCTGCACAGCCCGAGCCCACCGCAAGATTCCAGTCATACGCAGAGTATCTGGCGCGTCTGAATCGGTCACCTTTCCTGCTCCCCGACCAGCTGCTCCCCGGCCAGAGTCGTAAGGAACGACTGTGGCTAGCAAGCTTCACCGATGACGGTCGCTATATCGAACGGTACAGCTGCATCATTCGGTACTCCAGGAGGTCAAAGAATCTACCAGCCGTAGATGATGAAGGTATCAGGCCTGGCACTACAGTCGTGACCTGTTCGGACTTTCGAACCTTGTTACAAACGACGGAGGAGAACGTGGCGTACAGGATAATCATAGCAGCGACAGATTCTGGAGTGCCTTCCCCTACAATAGAAGACATCCTCGGTCTTGGCCTAGATCTAGAGCCGGACATTTTCGATTACGTAAAGAGTACTCTAATGCTCTCGAGATATGTACGGCAGAACGACTTTCCTCTACCGTGGTTTAAAGATGCTCTTGCTTTACGTATAGGCAGTGATGTCTTGTGCATCTTGGAAAAAACACCAGAAAGAAGATGCAAGACTGGTACACGCGAATACACACCTTCTACTATTCGACTCACTAACCATGTGTGTAGCGATCATATTTTTGAGAGACAATGACTGGATAGAACCCGAACCGCGAAACTCCCTCGGCTCCACGATGTTTTCGTCTAAGAGACCGTCACAAATGCTGGACGGACCCAACCAAACTACTAATGATCGTCTTCGTCACTATCGCAAATCGCTCGTTGAGCGATTTATCACTGAAGCGGTAGAGTCGAAAAGCCAATTCGGACCCGGTAACTTCCTCTATGTCTGTCTAGCTGCCTTGCTGGAGCTTCATCTCTCTACTGCGCCCATGGATGTTTTTTATTCCGGATTAATCGGTGGGCATATGGGTTCGACGCATAAATACCGCAGTTTCCAAGGGGCTACCAACGAGTCCCTTTCTGTTCGTAATTTTCCAGATATGGGGTGGAGTCGGTTAAGAATGGAGCTCGACCATCAGCGACATACACTCCGATGGATGACTCGCTTCTTCAAGAGACATTTCGATTACAGGAACAAAGATCTTCAAGCAGCATTCAAAGAGGTTAGGGAACGCTTCAAGCTTCAAGTACAAGATCTCGAACAAGTTGAATCACAACTCAGAGATCAGATAGCGAGTGAAGGCGTACATAAGAGTATCAGCATGGCAGAGATAAGCATCCGCGAGAGTAAAAGAGTCATGATATGTATGTTACCGGCACGACCTTTCTTATTGTTCCTGCTGACTGTATCAAAGTGACGGCCTTGGCATTCATTTTTCTACCTATCTCGCTCGCTTCCTCGGTGTATGGAATGGTAAGACCACTTTGTTACCTTCTAGCATGTATTCTAATCAGCCATACTTTCAGAACGTACAGCAGATAAACGGTACCGGTCATTCTATCCGAGCCTTTATGATTACAGCAATTGCAATGTGCGCAGCTGCTGTAGCGCTATGGGCATTTATCGCTGGCTTCCAATCTCGCAGAGCCCGGTTGAAAAAAGAGCTTACGTTGGATTTCATGCCATTTGAAAGATGGAAATGGTACGATCGATTGATCATGTTTCGCTTTCGTGTAAGATGGAAGTGGTTATGGCCCGACCCTGAATGGTTATGGCGCGACCTGAAATCGTTAGTTCCAAGCCTTTATCATCAGATCAGGCGAAAGATACACGAACTATCGCTTTCTTGATTCGTGTAGTATAGACGACTCAGTTCACTCGCTGCTTGGAGCCACTGGGCAGCGAATCTCGCAACGGTCTCCATGCCATTATCACAAACCTCTTTGGCCTCGCATTCTTCACTGGAGCTCTCCAGCAGGCGCGGCATGTCATGGGTTACTCTAACGTGAGTTTGGCGATGTGTTGTAGAGCCGCGTCCTGCACCGGACGGGTCTTCGTCAAATGGCTGTGGTATTCCGTGCACATGGCGAAAAGCAAAGCAATGGTAAGAAATTGGCCCCAGGTAACCCTCTCCATGACAGACGGAAAACCCATCGCTGAGCTTCAAAAAGCTCAGCGCAGCATGTGAAGCAACATGAGACTACACCTGCGTGTGGCCTGTCTTTGTACATCTGCATGCTCAGGTAGTTGAACTTTGTTGCCTAGTCAAACGCATCTGCCACAATGCGCCAGATAGGAACTGTCGGTTCCAATGTTCCCTCTTTCCATGCTCTTGTATGCTTGAAGTTTCACTCATGATAGTATCTGTAATGGTGCGCGTTGTACGTATTCATCCGCCATTTCGATGCAGATGCGACATAATCGTTCCAGATTGCGGCTCCGAGGGTGTGGGAACGCTATCATCGAAAATCAAAGCTCGGCTCGTTTCGAAGGGGCGCTGTACCGTAGATGATATTTGTCCTGTGTTTGTGAAGTACGGTTGGAGAAGCAAGTGGAAGCCGCGTTAGGTTTTGGAGTCCTTCAGTGCCTTACGCACGTAAGGAGCTAGTTCGCGTTTAGGGCGTTAAGCCACACTCAAGCAAGCAAGCAAGTCAGTTCGCTCAGCGAGCCATTCTTCCACAACCTGCACTATTGTTAGTAATCTTAGTAATCAGCGAGGCCCCCAACTGACAGATCACATGCATACTCATCTGGCCATTTTCTAGAGTCTCCCGCACTCTTCGCCAGCTATAAGTGTTGTTTAGCGGGAAATGCTATTTGGCCGAGTAACCACACAGCGAAGCTCAAATAGTCGCTTGCAGCACATAATCACCAACGTACTCTCTCCACCCTACATTTTGACGCCTCATATCTCCATTCGCCCATTCCTACACACTCGACCCTCAAGCTCCAAAGTCACATCACTACATCCGAAACGTCCAATGGCGACTTCAAACCAATCTTCCCCTCTGCCGCCAAGTTCCCAAGCGCCAGACTGGGACTCTTTCTGGGCAGACAAAAAAACAACCTGGGATCGCGGAGGCTCCAATCCCGCATTCATCGATTTCCTGCGAGCTCCGTCTGACCCTCTAATTTCACCGGACGCCAATCCTACACCTGGTGCGCCGGAACCCGGTGTGTATGAACACACAGAGGAGGTACGATTGCCAGTACCGATCAAAGAGGGTGGTACTAGGCGCAAGGCGCTGGTACCTGGGTGTGGGACGGGGTACGATGTAGCACTGTTGGCGAGTTGGGGGTATGACGCGTATGGTTTGGAGATCTCAAAGCATGCGGTTGACGAGGCGAATGCGTATTTAAAGCATTCGAGCGGAAGAGTGTCAGAAGGAGAGTATAGTGTCAAGGACGAGAAGATTGGGCAGGGTAGCGTGCAGTGTTTACTAGGTGATTATTTCGACGATGCGTGGGTGCGCGAAGCTGGCGGTGTAGAAGGATTCGACCTCATCTATGACCATACGGTACGCCCTCTACACGTCGAAAAGCTCAATCAAGAGCGTATGCTGATATCTTGTCTAGTTCTTGTGTGCCCTTCCGCCATCACTCCGTCCACGCTGGGCAGCACGAACAAAGTCTTTACTTTCCCCTACTGGTATCCTCGTCTGCATGGAATTTCCGACGCACAAGCCTGCATCTGCGGGTGGCCCGCCATGGTCGCTCCCGCCTACCGTTCATGTGGAGCTGCTCAAGCGACCAGGAGAGGAACTGACATATGACCACAATGGTGTGGTAGCCACCACGGGTAGAGACGAGAGCGAAGATGCTCTGGTGCGGATCGCACACTGGACGCCGAAGAAGTCACATACTATAGTAGAAGGTATCGTCAGATGCTGTGTAAGCGTGTGGCGGCACAAGAGGAAGGCTTAGACTCTATTGAAGCCGCATCCTAAGCTAGGCTTGTGAAGAGCAATCTCAGCATTTCTTTCAAATAGAATCATTCTGCTCCAAGAAGTCTGCTCACAGCTCCGCCACTGAGACTGATCAGAGAGCTCAGTCAGCCACGAAGGCGGAGTCGGGGCCACATACTTCCGTGGTGTATCCTCGTTGATAGGAGATGACACGCCAAGTGTCCCCTGCCACGCTGTACTCGGTCAACAGCACACGGTGTGAGACTCGGGCTTATTACATAGCAGCCGGGCGCATGCGGTGAGGCTGTTCGGGATGAGCGACAAAGACTGGGCAACAAAGACTGGGCGAAAAACACTGAGGGCGGCGCAGTGGTGTTGTTATCAACCTTGGAACAAATTCGTAGCGCACTTGGCAAGTCCATGTTGGCCTCAGGCTAGGACATGTGAAGCGCTCAAGACGACCTTGTTTGATTAAGCAGCGGGTCGGTGGATGATCTGCAAGTGGTTGTTTTGACGCGCATGGGCCACTCCAGACTCAGATTTGACTTGGCGGGCAAGCGCGATTGGAAGATGACATCATCAGCCTTGCAAGTTGTGAAGACGGCAGCCACAGTGAGCGCTGCATACAGAGCCGGCGGAAAGGTGAATTTGCTGTCGCGAGCCGAGCATCTTGCAGTCGTGAGACAGCGTGGCGATACGTGAGGGAAATATGTGACGATATGCTCCACTTCCCCTGGGCTTCCCTGGCAGTTCCCGAGCTAATCCATGCGCGGTGTCCCGCTTGGCGTCTACACAGCCTACCTTACCAACCACCTCGTCATCTCGACCAGACGCACGAGAGAAGCAAGCCAGCACTGCCCTCCTCCCCCTCTCGATAACTAAACCTCTTTCGCCGGGCTCTCGCTGCGATACTCTACCCTCCCATCATTTGCCAATTCCTCTAGCCTGCATCCCGCCAATTGCAGAGCTTGCCTCAGCAGCTACCTAACAGACCAGAGAGCTTGGCTTGCCCAGGTCATAATATACTGCTAGTTCTCCCGCGCCGTGCGCATCTGACTCTTCTCCAAAACAGCAATGAGTGAGTAGCCCTTTGATTCATTTTCCCGCACGCGGCAGTTAGCCGGCCTTGTCGTAGTCGCTTCGCAGTCTTGGTATTGCGCATCGTCTTTCAACACCATCGTTGTTCGGCTTTCCTGACCAAACATTCCATTGCCCGCCGACGGTCCGGGGGCGCAGCACAACATCATCATCAACCCGCATCGCACATCTCGACTACGGATATATAGCTAACCTGCGCGCTTGGCAGAAAACATCAAGCAGTCTTTTCACCGTCACGGTCGAGCAGGCAGTTATCACTACAACCAGCAGAGAGAGATGCCGCAGCCCGCCAACGGCAGGCTCCATGATGAGCACACCCCGCTCATCGGCCGCACTCAGAACTACGAGGACGAGTCGCGCGTCAAGACTATCCCCAAGCACGTCTTGCATCTCATCTATGCGACACTCGCAAGCAACTATGTCAACGTCTTCCTCATCTTTGTACCGCTCGGCATCATCGCCGGCGCATTGCACTGGAACCCAACCGTCGTCTTCGTCCTCAACTTCATCGCCATCATCCCTCTTGCAGCACTCTTGAGTTTTGCGACCGAGGAGCTCTCCGCTAAGCTTGGCCAAACTCTGGGAGGGTTGATGAACGCGACCTTTGGAAATGCCGTCGAACTTATTGTAAGCTTACACCTGTATACATGCGCTGTGACTTGCTAACCTCGCAACAGGTCTCCATCGTTGCGCTCAAGCAGGGCGAAATCAGAATCGTCCAAGCCAGTATGCTGGGCAGTATCCTGTCCAACATCCTTCTCGTAAGTTCAGATGCTGTGACTACTTACACTCCAGTGCGCTGACCATAACAGGTGCTCGGATGCTGCTTCCTTGCTGCCGGCCTCACCCAGCACGAAAGCCGTTTCAACGAGACCGTCGCATCTACCATGTCTTCCCTCATGGCCGTCGCATCCGCCTCGCTTATCGTCCCTGCTACCCTCTACGCAGTCATGCACGGTGACAACAAGAAGGACAACCTCGAGACTGACAAGAACATTCTTGTTCTCTCCCACGGCACTGCCATCATCCTGCTCATTCTCTACATCCTATACCTCTACTTCCAGCTCTACTCGCACCACAGCCTCTTCGCCGACGTCGAGAACCAAGAAGGTGGCGACAACGAGGAGGAAGCTCAGATCCTGTCGCCCGTCGCTGCCGGTGTCGCATTGGTCGTTGTCACCGTCCTCGTCGCCATCTGCGCCGAATTCCTTGTCGACAGCATCGACTCCATTGTCGAATCCGCACACATCAGCAAAACATTTGTCGGTCTGGTCCTGATCCCTATTGTCGGAAATGCTGCCGAGCACGTCACCGCCGTCATCGTCGCATACAAGGGCAAGATGGACCTCGCTATCAACGTCGCCATCGGATCTTCCCTGCAGATCGCGCTCTTCGTCACTCCCTTCCTCGTCATCCTCGGCTGGATCATGGGACAACCCATGACTCTCCACTTCCAGGGCTTCGAGACTATGATCTTCTTCATCTCCGTGTTGATTGTCAACTACTTGATCCAGGACGGAAAGAGCAACTACCTCGAGGGCGCCATGTGCATTGGTATCTACGCTATCATTGCGCTCGCGTTTTACATCTACCCTGACAATGCGGCTGGTGACATCACCGTCGATGTTGTCAAGCGTTTCTTCGCCGTCAACTAAGCGCGCAATCGCCACATGTGCAAACCATTTGCGCTCGTTGAGCGGGCGCTACGGGAGAGAGTTCTATTTTCCTATGTATAAAACTATTCTTTACCTTAATATGTCTTTTTTGGTACAGAAAGGGGAAGGATATCTGTTTTCTTATTTGTTGTATTTCCTTTGTGTGTCTGTGGTTGAGGTTACCCATTGTACGAGTATTCTATCTGTGGGGCGGTGCAGCGTGGCTTGGCGTTATATCTACTTGTGGCAGTGCATTCGGAACGAGCGGCAGCCGAAAAGTGGAGTGTGGCTTGACGATCTAAGGGGTCCGAGCTCAGTTGATGGACCTCATCTAGTAAGGGAGGAGCAATTCAAAGGGCAAGATTTGTATATGTAGGAATTGAATCAAATGGTAAAAAGTCGACATGTTTGTTTCCATATGAGCGAAAGGGCTGGGTGCCGTATGTGTCAATGCTGATTCCAAAATAGGGCAGAGTAGTACGCAAAGAGAGAAATACGATTTCTCACTTCACTCGACTCTCTCTCTCCCCATATCAGTTCCATTCTTACTAACCCATTAACCCATGCTATACCATCCATCCTTCTTCCTCACCCGTTTCTTCATCTCCCCGCTTTGGCAAATTCGCCCAACGCCGCCGCCCAAACAAGATACAAGGTCCGACTTGCCCCGCCATCAATCCACCGCTCGTCCCAAAACCCGTCGATACCATCTCTGAAGAAGGTGTAACTTGCCTTTGCATCGATGAGTGCGAGGTTGGCGTAGAGGATACCGCGCCAGCCGCCTTCGACATTTGCTCGGCCCTAGAATGTTGAGGTTGGTGAGGTTAGCGGTGGGGGCGGGGCGAAGAAGAGGGAGGAGCTTTTTTGGTTGAGTTTCTTACCTCTGTGAAGAAAGTCTCCCATTCTTCTTTTACGAAGCTGCGGGGTCGGATGAGCGATGTGGATGGGTTGATGGGGACGATGTGGATTCCGTGAATTAAAGCTGGAGCAAGGGAAAAGTAGGCTATTTTTCTCACCATGTCAGTTATGATGTTTCTCTTTCAAACCCTGCTTTACCTCTTTCCTCCAGTCTTTGTGTATTGCTATGGGGAATCTTTGTTTATCTTGAACTTTGGCCTCGAGTTTACAGCTCTGGTTTCCCTCTGACATGTTGCCATGGCTTGGCGTTGTGAAAGAGAGACAGTCTTGCGGATCTACGTGGCAGGTTTACTGCGTCAAAGACCAAGGACTATGACGGCTATACGTACTCGCGTGGTCGACTTTGTTCTCAAACAGTACCCCTGCGACTTTGTTCTGCGTGTATCGCAACGGGTGGTTTGTGTTGGTGGAACGAATATACATGTAATGATTGAAGGACCGGGCTTGAATCGCGAGTTGGAGATTTCCTGTTGGAATAGGTTGGTCAGCCATCATCTACATCTCCCGAACTCTCTACTCCCAGTTTGCGCTTTTCCGACATTCGTCTCAACTGCTCGCTGTTCGTTCAACACACACATACCTCTCTTCTCCATATCCGCATCGCCCACTACCTTCCCCCACATCTTCACCGCATAACTCGCAAACGCATCTTCTCCCGTACTCTCCATATCCTTACCGTCGCCTGCTTCGAAGAGCCCTTTCGCCCAACTATGTCCATGCCACCAATCGAAGCTGCGCGAAAAAGGGTAGTCTCTGCCGTCATAATCGCTCTCGGCAAAGTCCTTGACAAGCATATTCGTCCAGCTCTTATTATCGCCCTGCGTCAGCCACGCAGGATCCAAGGCACCAATGACCGAGGCCGTGTAAACAAAGTACGCGTATTGAAGGTGATGATCGTTGTAATACGTATTTCCAAAATCGGCGCCTGGGTCCGAGAAGCCGGCCGAGGACACGACGCCTTTCCAGCTGTCGTCGTAGTAGAGTGGATGGCGTTGCGCATTGTCTACATACCTGGCCAACTCGACTTTCAACTTTTCGAGCCCTGCGGTGGCAATGGCGTCGTGGCTCAGGACGTCTTTGATGATCCATACGATTGTTGCGAATTTTGCTAGGGACTTGCCGGCAAAGTACAGAGAATCTTGGGGTATGCGTTCGGTCATTGCGCGGCGGAGGTCGCGCTCTGCGACTGCGGCGATGAAGGCGAGGACTTCGGGAGGATACCGGATCTTAGCGTTTGCGTTCATGGTTGGGTTCCAAGGGGAGAAGTGCATGGTCAAGGGGAGGTTTGGTTCGATGAAGGTGAGTTTGTCACCCCAGATGGCTGTTGCCATGCCTTTGGTGGTGGTGCGTAGACAAAGGTTCGTGACCTGATTCCTCATTTCTGGGTCGAGGGACTGAATGTGGTGCGGCAGTGCGAACATGAGTAGCGGCGAAGTACCGATTTTGGTGTAGCGGAAAGTGTACATGCCTTTGCCGTCTGGGACTACAGCTGTGAGTTTGGCTTCGCATACAAAGGCGCCGGAGGCTCTGTCGTAGATTGCTTCGCCTTCTGGGCCGAGCGGATTCTTGGCTACTTGTATTGTGCCTTTGAAGGCGGGAGGGCCGAGGAGTGTGTTAGAGTTCAGTCGGACGAAGCGCGTGGCATCGTAATCGAGACTTGCTACTGGATTGACGTACACGATCCAGCAACGCCCAGCTTTGTCTTTGAGGCGATACTTGACTGTGCGTGGTGATATGACGATTGGCCCGGCCAAGTCCACAAAGCCACGACCGCCTGTCTGTATCATGGGCGTTGCACCTCGGTAGCCAGCCGTGATGAAGCTCATGCCTTGTACAACAGGAAATGTAATCTTCGGTTCCTGGGCCTCAGGATGTGGTTTGAGGTTGATGTTGACGGAGAACGGGAGATGAGTGTCTGTAGTGAGAGTTGTTCGCGCATCGAGCTCGACGGCGCTGAGGACGAGATGCTGCTTGTGGAGCGGATTAATGTAACCTTTGGCTGGATCTCCAGGTTCAAACACCAGGTCCTTCTCTTCAATATGGCTTATGCACATGCCCCATGTTTGCACCATGCCCACGTCTAGTGTGCCTTTACCCCACCAGATCGAGTAAGGGTGTGTCCAGATAGGTTGGTTCTGTTGTCCTAGGAATGCATTGGCGTAGAAACTGTTGGTATGCATGGTGGTTCTGTCGTCATCTTCCACTCCCGTCCTAGGCACTGAGTGATGACGTCCAATTGGAATCTGCGGAAGGATATCATCTTGTTGTATAGGTGTGAAGATGTTGTCGGGAGGTATCTCGTCGGGAACGGTGGAGGCGCTGTAGCCGAGTGTGCTCTTGATACCCTGACGGGTTTCGCGTAATGATCCGAGCCAGCCGTCTTTCTTGGTAGGTTTCGAAAGTGCGTGAGTGATGGGTAGCCGGGACTGCGCAGGACCCATGGATGGTATCGCAGAGGTGTGCGAGAGGTGTTGGAGCAGGTGTCTCAGTATAGGTGGCGGGGTTGACCAATAGTGAGTGTATATGCTTCTAGGAATGGTTATATCTCATTCATGGATACAATCGAGGGCGCTCGATAGGGTTGTGACTTTAGTGTAAGCAGTAGCATATCGTTTACAGCGTTGGAAATCCGATGTCGCTACCGTGATGTTCATCGTGAGGAAGTGACGACTGCGTAGTTTGCTCGAAACCGCGAGGTTTGCGCAATTGCGCGGTCAAACGTCAGTACCACGCTGCATTCCGCACAATGTTACAAAGTGTCACAAATGAAATTGAAAGGAAGAAGACGACGAAGAAGTAGAGATATGCGTGGTAGCAGCCGTAGCATGTAATTTTGGGGGAAACCTGTGAGAGAGTTGGGGGCCATAATCTATGTGCACCTCGACCGCCATCGCGACTTCCCCAACAATGGGTAACGCACGCCATGTGGTAAATATACCTGAAAACAGATTTTCGCACACGTCCAATACGTGGCACAAATACTCGAGTCAAAACCTTTGATTCTCACCTTACGCCAGCGGTTTTCTCAACGGGGCAATAACCCCCTGCTTAACAATAACCCTCGGCTTCGTAACATCCTGATGCGTCTTCTTGGTGACCCATTCCTTTCCCTTCGGCACCCTCAAACTCCTCTCGTACTGTTCCCTGTTCTCGAATGGGAATGGCAGTTGACTAGCCATGTATTTGACAGTGGGCTTCATTCTCTTCTCGTTGATGATGACCTTGTCCATCTTCTTGTCTTTCCGTTTGTTGGCGTCGATACCAGGTTTCTGAACAACGGTTTTGAGTCCAACGTTACGTTTCTTCTCGGCCTTGGACATGCCGTCGCCGGTCCAGGAGCCCCAACCAGGAAGGACTGATACCTCTTCCGTAGCCTCTTCATCCGCAATCGTAGCCTTCTTCTCAGCGGCGAAATCAGCCTCTACGTCGTCGCCAGCGAAGGCTTTGGCAGTGAGAGACTGGTTGTGCGTGATGACGTCGAGGTCGATACCCTCGTCTTCGATACCTTCTTCGTCGTCGTCCTGGCCACCTAGTACAGTCGCCCAGCCATCGTCGTCGGCCACAGTGACGCGCTGCTTCAGGAAGTCGTCGACTTGTGTCTCTTGCGGTTTCGTTTCTTGCTTCGATTTCTTCTGGGCCTTAGGCTTGGACGTGGGCTTAGGTTGAATGACGGCCTTCTCTTGTGTAGAAGAGTTTGCAGCGCCTGTGACAGGGAAGAGTTCAGGCTCCTTTGCTGCTTTTTTCTCCTTCTTTGCCTTGGTCAAGAAAGGGTTGGACGCCCCGTTCTCTTCAGGTGGCGGTACAGCAGCCTTCCGCTCTTTCCGAACGCCGTTGGAGAGACCGTTCATGCCGTTCTTCTTCTGAGCAGGCGCTCGAGCCGACGATGCATCTGCAGCAGGCTCGCCTTCATCGGCAGAGTTGGCATCATTTTCTACGTCAGATCCCTCGTGCTCCTCGAACTCATTGCGCATCTGTATAGCTGGAGCAGCAACGTTGGCATTAGGACCGTATTTTCTCCGACCTGCTTTTGTAGCGTTCTCGTCAAGTTCAGCGTTATCGCTGTCCTCTCCAGCAAGTTCGCG